AAAAAAAAAAAAAAAAGAAGACACATTAGGGCTTATTTTCAAATGCATGGCGTGGCTATGCAGATATGCTGCATAGCCACACCCATCACTAGGTCTTATGATTGGGGTAGGGCTTATGTTTAACAAATGCATAGAAATCCTGCTAGGGCTTATTTTGGGGGTTGGTCTTATTTTCGGGGAAACACAGTAGGAGCTTCAAAATAATCTCTTCTGGGATTCTGGGCATAGTATTTTCCACACCTCAAAGAGCCCTTCCAGAGCTCCTTCCATTTCTAAGTAGCTTAAGATATCTGTTAACAGAAGCCCCTTTGAACAACAGGTGATAAGCCTTCTCTCTCCTGGACACCAGTAGCAAATGATGCTATTTAGCGGATAGACAGAATTTCCATTTGTGTTTATCTACTAAGTTCTTTTCAAACTAGTTTTTGCACTGTGCCAGGGACCCCTTTGGTACTTGCAGCTTTCGTACGCTTTGACATTTCCCACCACCACTGTATGTCCAGGGATAACCTCGGCTACTACCTTCGTTCCAATCACAGTTGTTTGGCGGCCTGCGATTCCAATCCTGGGCTAATGAGTCAGGATGATGCTAAATCCACCTTGCTATTCTTTTCTTAATTCTTGGAAAAGTCAGAGAAATGCTCCAGTTGTCATTTGTGGGGTCAATTGTACAAAGTTAGGAGTGGTCCCAAGCCTTCTTTAACTACTTGATGAATTTATATAGCACTTCTTCCTGATATTGTTTATTTGGCATGTGTTATCTATTATAATTATAATTTAACATTCAGTGTATAGAGTAAAAGCTCTTGTTTTATTGTTATGATTTTCTTTCCTGCTACAGGGTAGTCTCATAGCTCTGGTCTTTTGGAACTGAATGATAACATCTATGTTCCCTGAAAGGTGAACAGCAGCAGGACCCAGAGACAAGACTTGAGGGGAGATGTTCAGGGCAGTTTTATTGAAAGGAGAGGGTGACCCGACTGGGGCAGTGCAAAGGTGACATCTGTGCATGGGAGGGTAGTTAGAGACCCCTTTTATATGGGGCTGTAGGGGTGAGAAAATTCTATAGCTTGCTGGGAAAGTTAGGGTCCTTTGGCGTGAACTTCTCAGGGGTGGGGCTCACTGGATCCTTTGTCTCCTTTGCCTTAGGAGGTGTGGAAGGACGGGTTCCTGTGGGGCTGCATTAGGCTCCCCCAGCACTCCTACTAACCTCATGTGCTTTGTCTCCCCCTTGTGTCCAACCACATCACCTGTCATTTTCTGCTCCAGGCACACTCCAGGTTTGCTGTTCTTAGGAATTTTGCACTGTCTGTTCCCTCTGCTGGCCATGCTTTTCCTCCATGTTCATATGGCTAGCTCCCTCACTTCCTTCAAGCCTTGATTCAAAAGCCACCTTCTCAGAAGTAGCTTCCAAGGCAAAATGTTTAGTCCTGATACTTCATAATCCCCCTCCCTGAACTGCTTTTCTCTGTCACTTTTACCACTGTCCGACATGCTGTATGTTTTCCTTATTTATTTCATTTATTGCCCCTAGCCACCACTACTATACAAACGCCACAAAGAAGGGCTTTCATCTGTTCTATGTACTACTGTATCCCCAGCCCCTCAAACCGTGTATGGTAATAGCAGCTGCTCAATAAATGTTTTCTGAACTGGTGAATTCATTATGTTAAAAACTTGCAGATGTTGCCTTTTTGAGATGCCACCGGAGCAAGCCCCTCTGTTCCCTGTATCATTTTAGTTATTCTTTCTGAGCCCTCACTAGCTCCGGCTAAAGGTAGGAGGAGGAAGAGGAGGAGATCTGTGGATCTGGAAACCCTAAAAGGAACCACGCAATCTGCTTTGCATGAAAGATAACTTATCATGCTCAGACAGCAAGTAAATGTGTATTTAATAAATAAACATTTTCAACTCAGTTGGCATCTCAGATCTTGTGGTAGAAACACTATAGACAAAAGCGTGGTTTACTTTAGTGAAACTCGTTCTATAGTATAACAGAAAAACCAGGCTCAGCAAAAACCTGGCAATTTCTAGATTGGGTATGTATGAGAGAGATCTTATCTGTTCCCAATCACAGCTTAAGCCACAAGTCCATCAAACTTCACAATGTCCACTAACTTACACTGCTAGTCTCCTGGTGTAAGCTTATCTCTCACTAAGGAATCTCTAGACGTCAATCTAATACAAACCCACAGCTATCCTCAAACCTGGGCTAGCAATTACAGAGCAAAGTCAGGATGCATTATCTCTACTTGACTTTGAAGCTCAAGCCCAGACATGTGATTTAAAACAACACCAGAGGATCTCTTGGTTTAGAGTATGTTGTGTCGGGAAAGAGTACATGTATATTTTATGACTTTCCTTAAACTTATCACTGAATTAAATAAACTATACGCTCTCTGGGGCTCTAGGCAGTATTTCTCAATGTATTTTCTGGGAGCCCCCAGCATCAAAATTACCTGGACTGAGTGTTGAAAGAGTACTTTTTATTATTATTATTATTATTATTAAATCATAGCCGTGCACATTAATACTATCATGGGGTACAGTGTGCTGTTTCCATACACAATTTATGGAAAAAATACCTTCGTCCAACTGGTCAACATAGCCTTCATGTCATTTTCTTAGTTATTGTGTTAAGACATTTATATTCTACATTTAGAGAGATTCACATGTACCCTTATAGGATGAACCACACATTTTGGGAACATATCAAAACCTCGTAAATATCAGGGAAAGGGCCTTAGAATAGGCTTAACAGGCTTTCCACGTGAGTATTCCAGGGGCCAGGGTTGAGAGCAACTGCCTGGACCTCTAGCATGAAGAGAAAGGCTTCTGTTTTCAAACAGTACAGCAAGTTCCTAAATAATCCCTTCAGTTGTCTTTAAAAAGGAGCCAGGAATAATACCTAGATTCCATCTGCAAATCGGGGCTCCTTCTTAGGCCCTACTCTTTCCCTCAGCCCTATTGGTTAGGAACAACCTAGAAAACGTACCACCAGAGCCGACCACAGGATTTTATGAATTACCCAGAAAAAGCGAATCTAATCCCCTCTTGGCAAGATTCTGAAGGAAAAACAAGCAGAGGAAATAGGACTCCTCTGTCTACATCTCCTTCCTCAACCCCACTCCTCCTTGGCTGCACTCTGAAAGCCCACATGCCCTCTCTGAACCCAATTGCATATTATTAAGGAAGGCTGAGATGCTTTCATTTTTTTTCTCTGTTTTAGGGGGAGTCTGGCACAAACAGGTGCTGATTAACATCTGGAGTTAAACGGGCTCCTTGTGCCTCAATATCTGGAAGATGTGCCAGGCCTGGTACAATATCCTAGTTGTCACTTAATCCATTGGAATTCTGCCCCTTCAAAGGATCTGGCCATTGGCCAGTTTTATATTTACCTCAGCTTTTAGGTAGCACTTAATTCTATTAACTACCCTGGCATTTGGAGTTATCACCTTGGTACTTAGGGGAAGTTTCCTATGCAAAGGTTGATCTGGCTTTTGATGACCCGGGTCCTATTAACACTCTATGGTACCTTTAGTGCTGTTTTTCAGGGTAAGGACTAAGGGGCCAGGGCTTCAGTGTGAGGTGTAGGCCCCAAACAAACTCTTAATAAAACTTGCCTTTGGGCTATTGTGGCTTTCCTCACCTTCTTCATTGTAAGAAGCAATGCCCCTTGAATATTTTCCTTTGACTTTCACAAAAAATAAATAAATAAATAATCTTTTTTAAAAAAATGGAATATCTCTGCTGTAAGTTTCTCTGTTGCTGGCACTAAGAGAGGAGGCAAAGAGGAAAGAGTGCAGAAAATAGGTTTCCTCTTTCCGAATGTAAGACATACCCTATGGCACTTGGTCACAGTCATGAGGTGGCAGGGAGTGTAGCTATGGAAGCAAGGGAAAGCTGGTGGTGATGTTTACAATTGAAGACTGAGAAGTTCACAGAAGTGGCTTTGCCTGCTGTTGCATGAGAGGGCAACAGTGTCCTGACCCTAGGGGATGCTTTACAACCATAGGGTCAGCACCACTGGTGATACCTTGGTGTTTTCTACTCGACCCTTCAGGGCTAATGGGCCCAGCAGAATGGAAACCAGAGTGAGGGATGTTGAGTTTTCAGCAGACATGTCAGAAACAAGCCCCTCTTACCTTTTGCCAAATGCAAAATAATCAGCTCTCCAGTGGAGAAGGGTCTCCCCCTTATGTGGACTTTCCCCTTACGCAGGGACCTTTGGCCATAATCCCACCCCTAGGCTGAGAGGAGGAATGCAGCTGTTTAAGGTTGAAGGTACCTGCTGGTGGGATGCATTATCTGCCTGGCAATATCTCCAGCTCCCCCTGGAGCATTTATAGATCAGAGCTCCAGAAGAGCCTGACTGAACAATGGATACCTCCCATAAGTTTAGAATTAGCAGGAAGTGAGAGACTGTCCTATGTATAGGCTGCATTTTATGGGGGCTAAGGTGTACCCTTCTTCCTGTGCTGGCAGGTACAAGGAAGTTGAGCATCTTAGACACCAGTGCAATGCAAGGACCAGGGGTTTCGAGGTCAACACATCTGGATCCGATTTCCAAGTCTACAACTTACTACCTGGTTGAGTTTGAGCAATTTCTTTAACCTCTCTGAGTCTTTACTCAATCCTCACAAGCAACTCTTTAAAGTAGATATTAATGTTATACCCATGTAGATGAGGAAAAGGAGGCTCAGAGAGGTTAAGCAACTAGTCCAGGGTCACACAGCCAATAAGTAGCAGAGCAAGATTTCAAGCATAGGTATCTGCCTGACTCAGCATTGAACAATTCCACTCTGTTACCTCAGTGATCTTGGAATCCTCAGTCCGGATTTCACTTCTTGGCACACGTTGAGGTACACCCACAAACATGGCCTCAGATGCAGCTGTACGTACAGTAATAATCCCAGTTCTAGGCAGGGTTCTGGAAGCATGAGATCTCTATGGAAGAGAGAGAAAAACTTAAAGAGGTGGTATGCCAGCACATAAACAGTAGAATGTTTACTATGAAACCAATTTATAGCTTTCTTATGAAAGCTATAACCCAATTATAGCCCAAGAAGAAGGGGGAGAGGGAGGGGAGGGGAAGGGGGAGGATGAGTGGAGGGAGGATGGGTGGAGGGAGAGTAGTTGGTGGGACCACACCTACAGTGCATCTTACAAGGGTACGTGCAAAATTTACTAGGTGTAGAATATAAATGTCTTAGCACAATAACTAAGAAAATGCTGTGAAGGCTGTGTTGACCAGTTTGATGAAAGCATTTCAGATTGTGTGTAAAACTAACACATTGTATCCCATGATTGTATTAATGTACACAGCTATGATTTAATAAAGAAAAAAAATTTTTTAAAGTATTCTTGAGGGCTGATTGAGTGGCTCACTCCTGTAATCCTAGCACTCTAAGAGGTGAGGCAGGAGGATCTCTTGTGCTCAGGAGTTCGAGACCAGCCTAAACAAGAGTAAAACTCTGTCTCTACTAAAAATAAAAAAATTAGTCAGCCATCACGGTGGGCATCTGTAGTCCCAGCTACTTGGGAGGCTGAGGCAGGAGAATCACTTGAACCCAGGAGTCTGAGGTTTCTGTGAACGAGGCTAATGCTATGGCATGCTAGCCTAGGTGACAGAGAGAGCCTCAGTATCCCCCCCACAAAAATATATATAAATAAAGTGTTCTCGAGGAGTGTCAAGAGAAGTGCAAATGGTAATACTGGCCAACACTGCATGCTAGGTAAGCATCTCATATATCTTTAAGTTCTCTCATTCAATGTTTACAATAGCCTTGTGGGGTAGAATTAGCTGAGAATCAAGGAAAAATTTCTCCCTCCATTTTTTTGGGGGGGGCAAGATTAGAGAATGGAAGAATAGTCCAGTTAAGCACAGATGCTCAAGTCTAGTCTTACCTGCAGAGGTCTGCCTCTCGGGGGCTCCATAATGGGATTCACTGTACTTGTTGATCTGTCAGAATCAGAGTCCAACATGAAGATGCTATCATGGGATAGAGCTTTGTTCCCCATGCTGCTTCTGGGTCTATACAGAAAGGAAAGGTCTTGTAAAAGCCTTTCCTATGTTTAGATCCTTTCCTGGCCCTTTCCCAGTTCCCAAGGGCCATAGGAACTGAAAATAAATGTATATTCATAATATGGTCCCTCAGAGAGACCTCAGGAGGAGGGGGTGGATGCATATGCACTGACATGGAAAGCTGTCCGTGAGATATTAAGTGGAAAAAATGAAGAATAGTATAGTCCCACTTAATATGCACACATATATTACATACATACACCGTTCATGCTCAAAGAAAAAAGTCTGGAAGAGTATCCAACAAACTGGGAGTAGCGGTTCCCTCTGAGGAACGACACTAAGTACAAGAAGGGGATTTTCATTTTCTACTTTATGTCCTTTTGCATCATTTTAATTTTTAAAATTGTGAGCATGTTCTAATATAACATTCTTATGGAGATATGGTTTACAGACCACACAATTCATCCATCTCAAATATATAATTCAATGGTTGCAACCCTAAGGAATGGGAGAGAAGGCCCTTAGTCTCACTATTATTGTGATGAGAATTATAAAAGATCTTCCACACCCAAGTTTGTCTCTTTGTGGTTTTGTTTTGATTTGTTTAAAAATATCAAAGATCTGCCCAGATGTCGGAGGCTTTCATTCATCAGGACTTTTCCTCTTTCAAACAAGGGCTCTGTAGGAGACTCATCCTATTTTCAAAGTCATTTGGGTGGACTACCTGCCTCTTCACTCCCTCAGCTTGCTAATTCCCGATGAAAACATCTTCTCATTGGGAATGGAGTCAGGTTGTTGAAAATTATGCGTCAAGACAAATCGGGGGAAAGTTAGAAACAAGTACAGGGCTAAAGCCATGAACAACTCATTTTGGAATCTGTGACTTTACCTTTTACAAATTTCAACCAAAGACATCCCCCAAATAGAAAACTACAGTCCAATATTCTCTCATGAATATAAACGCAAAAAATCCTCAAAAAAAAAAAAAATACGAGCAAACTCAATAAAGAAGCATGTAAAAAGAATTATACACTATGACAAAGTAGGATTCCTAAGTAATGCAAGGTTAGCTTATCAGATGAAAATCAATGAATGTAATAGACAATATCAATAGACTAAAACCAAAAAAACATACGACTGACCATTTCGAGAGATGCAGCGAAAACATTTGTAAAGTCCAACACCCTTTCATGATTAATGCACTCAACCTTGATAAAGCGTATCTGTGACAAACTCGCAGCTAATATATATTTAATGGTGAAAGACTGGATGCTTACTCCCTACCATCAGCAATGAAATAAGGATGACGATTCTTACCATTTCTATTCAGCATTGAATTGGCTGTTATAGTCAGGGAGATAGGTAAGAAAATGAAATAAAAGACATCCAGAATGGAAGGGAAGAAGCAAAATTATCTCTATTTACAGATGACATGATTTTGTATGCAAAAACTCCTAAGGAATCCACTAAAATCTATTAGAGCTAATAAGCAAATTAATCAAAGTGGAAGGATACAGGATAATATAGAAAAATGGTACTTCTATAAACTTGAAACGAATAACCTAAAAGTGAAATTAAGAAAATACTTCCGTTTATAATAGTAACAAAAATAATAAAACACTTAGGAATAAATTTAACAAAAGATGTACAAAACTTATACCTTGAAAATGATGAAATACTGCCAAAAAATTAAAGGAGGATTTATTACTGGGCAAGATATATGAACAGAGAACCCTCTCGAAAGAAGACAGATGAATGGCCAACAAAAACATGAAAAAAGTGGTCATCATTCCTCAGTATCAGAAAAATGAAAATTAAAACCACCTGAGATATCACCTGACCCCATCACAAAGTCCCAAAGCTGCAGATTCTGGTGTGAGTGTGGAGGGCAGGGAACACTTTGACACTGTTGGTGGGACTGCAAACTAATTCAGCAGATTAGCGGTTGGTGAGAGGAGGAGGGAAATGGAGAATGACTGCTAATGGTACAGGGTATCTTTTTAGGGTTAGGAACTGTTCTAAAATTGGGTACTAGTGATGGCTGCATACGCTAAAAGGGAGAATTTTATAATAGGTAAACTATATTTCAATAAAGCCATTCTACAAAAACGTAAAGATCCAACATTAGAAAGCTATTCCTAATAGCTTAAACAAATCTGTGTGTGTATCTAAAAGATGAGATGAAACATGAAAGAAAAAGATGAAAGGAAGGAAAAAAGGAAGAGAGAGAAAAGAAAAGAAAGAGCCAGCAAGCTGGCACATGGTACTACTTGGATGACCCTTCAAAACATGCTAAATGAGATGAGGATGACCTTTATATGATTCTACTTACATGAAATGTCCAGAATAAGCAAATTTATAGAGGTAGAAAGGAAATTGGAGGCTATGGCTACTTAGCAGGCAGAGGGGAGTGGAGATCAAATGGTAATGGGTACAGGGTTTCTTTTAGGGGTCGACAGAAATGTTCTAAAAATTAGATGAAATAAATTTAAGAAATTTTAAATATTTTTTGCATTTATTACCTTTATTACAAAACAATATATGCATGTTGGCACTTTAAAAAAGAATTTTTAAATGGTAACTAGCATAACAGCTTGGGCATTGGCGGGCTAGAACCGGCCCTGTCATTATGAGCATGTCTGACAGTGGGGCCTGCGTGTGGGTGTATTTGATCATGACACACTCCAAGGACGATTTCATGTTATGAGGACTAAAATGGAACCACTCTCTTGATCAGCAAGGGAGACGAGGCAGTCGTCTGCTACTTTGTACTAACCCTCTACCTACCTTTTCCCTATAAAACTCTGCCATCCTGACTGGGTACAGTGGCTCACACCCTAGCACTCTGAGAGGCCAAGGCAGGGGGATCCCTTGAGCTCAGGAGTTCGAGACCAGCTTGAGCAAGAGTGAGACCCCTCTACTAAAAACAGAAAAATGAGCCAGGCTTTGTGGCAGGCACCTGTAGTCCCAGCTACTTGGGAGGCTGAAGCAGGAGGATCACTTGAGCCCAGGAGTTTGCTGTGAGTGAGGCTGACCCCAGGGCACTCTAGCCTGGGGCAACAATGAGAATCTCTCTCACAAAAGAAAAATGAAAACTCTACTATGCAGGTGGCCCTGGTGGTGAAGGCAACACCCTGCTTTACTAAAACAGTAGTCCAGCAGAAACATCATGTGATTCCCTAGCTAACCACTTAACGGGCATCTATGATTGACCCAGTCTGCCAGGATAGAGGAAGAAAAGGATTGGGGTTGCTTTCTTGCTTGCTGTTTGGCAACACAGTGATCTCCTGTCTATGTCCCACCTCGCTCCACCCCCACCTGGACAACTTGGCTATTTGAGGCTTTAATCACTCATTACTAGATCTGGCTCCCCTTGGCCAGATCTGCAGCCTGATGGCCAGGCAAGCAAACCAGACCAAGCCTTCTGAATGACACAGGCCCTTCCTACCCTATGAAACAAGTACCAATTTTTTCATTAGCAGTAGGCCTCACATTTTAAGTTATTTCAGTTGTGACAGAAAGACTTTCTCTGATCTATCTGTACCCTCTCACCTGGTGCTCTGGGATGCACATTTACCACGCTCCAACCCGCAGGGAAGCCAATAATCCCTGGGACCAAAGGTCTATTGGTGATTTGGCTGCCAAAGGGGACCTTGGTCTAGCTGCCTGCCCCTCCCCTGTCCTCATGCCTCCACCCTATCAGAGTTTACCTGGTCTCAATTTGCTGATCTTCTGGAACTGGTTCCAGAGAAGAGGTGTCAATGGTACTACTGGAACGACTTGGCTTCAACATTCTCTCTCCCTCAGAATCTTCACTGTCCCTTTTCTTCTTCTTGCCAAAAAAGCTCTTTAAACTTTTAAATTTGGATTTTTTCTTTCCTGGAAGTGAGAAATGGAAGTGAAGTTGAGTATCATGGTAGGGGGGAAAACAGGAGAGGACACAGGGCCTTCATGACAGGAATGGGTGCTGTGATCCCCCCAGGTCCCCTGCAGAACCTGGCTTGCAGCCCAGGTGCCCGCAGCACCATCCATTTGGTTTGTTCCCCTCTTAGTAACTCAGTAACAAAGGGTCTGAGTTGTTGGTGGAAGCAGAAACCCAGGCTGCAGCTTGGGATCGCCTTTCCATTTCAACTATCAATATGCAAACCTTTTTCCTAGTCCTAAGAACTTCATTCCTGTGAAGTTGTTACTGAGCCAACATAAGCACTTGGTTCTCCCTTGACCCCACCCTGGGGCTGAAGTCATTACAATCCAGTCAGAGAACCAAGCTTCCACATGTGCAAAATGCAGCAGAATCTTTAGAAAGCCAAGTCCAAGTGGGAGTTGATACTTCCCAGCCCACATACTGAAAGGATGCAGACCCTAACAGTGAGTATAGTTGGTCAGCACAGGCAGGGAAACACTTCCTTGAGCACAGAATTTAGGAGCAAGGGAGAGGGCAGGGAATCAGAAAGAAGGGCTACCCAGGCAAAGATCTGGCATGTCAAATCATATACCAAAGGGTTTTTTCAAACTGTGTATGTATGTGTGTGTGTGTTATGAGTATTGTATATTCTTCAACTATTGCTAATTGGTGTGGATTATCCACAGGGCTGCTATCCTCTGTGCATGCAGATAAATGAAAGTTTGCTCTATCCATAATAATTACTAGGGTACCAGTGAGGAATATGACCTCCTAAGGCTCTGTCTGTTTGGGCCATCTTTATTATTTATGTATTTTTTGAGACAGAGTCTCACTACGTCATCCTGGGTAGAGTGCCATGGCGTCATAGCTCACAGTAACTTCAAACTCATGGGCTTAAGCGATTCTTTTGCCTCAGCCTCCCAAGTAGCTGGGACTATAGGTGCCTGCCACAATGCCTAGCTATTTTTTGTTGCAGTTGTCATTGTTAGTTAGCTGGCCCAGGCTGGGTTCAAACCCGACAACTTCAGTGTATGTGGCTGGTGCCATAACCACTGTGCCTCGGGCGCTGAGCCTGTTTGGGCCATCTTTAGTTTCCTAATAGGCACGTATGTCTTTATCAGGGCTCAGTAGAAAAGGAGAAGGGGTGGAGGATTCATGCTGCGTTCTTCAGAGGAAAATAATTAGCCATTAGTTATTGATTTCACATGCAATAAGTTACCAACTCAGGTGTTGCATTCTAATTCTCAACTGTCTGGTCTCCATTAGGTCTTGTCAGCACAGCAATGCTACACGGGTGGGGAAGGGCCCAGCCAAAGGAGTTGCCAGTGTGGCAGCCATTGTGAAAGGGACTTGATGGTGGGACAGAAAGCACCATCCAAGAATCAGAAAATCTATAATTTTCTGAGGCTTGGATCTACTATCAATTAGCTCCGTGACCTTGGGTAAGTCTCTCAACCTCTCTGGGGATCAATAGGAAAATGAAGGATTGCACTTGATCAGCATCCCCCAAAGTATCAGAGGGATGCTTGTACAGTTTGTTGCATGAAAAGGGAGCTTCAGTCCCGTCAGTCTGGGAAATGTTGGATTAGACAAACTTCAGTCATCTGCTTTTTTTTTGAGACAGAGGCTCATTATGTCCCCCTTGGTAGAGTGCTGTGGCGTCACAGCTCACAGCAACCTCCAACTCTTGGGCTTAAGAGATTCTCTTGCCCTCAGCCTCCCAAGTAGCTGGGACTAAAGGTGCCCACCACAATGCCCAGCTGTTTTTTGTTGCAGTTGTCATTGCTGTTATAGCTGGCCTGGGCTGCGTTCGAACCCACCAACTTCGGTGTATGTGGCTGGTGCTGTAACCACTGTGCTACGGGCACCAAGCCAGTGATCTGCTTTTCAACAAGGCCTTTCTGAAAGTTCAAAATGGTCATGTGTATCAAAACTCCAAGAAACTGGAAATCAATATAGTCTCCCAATGCATGCAAACGAATGTCTACCAAAACACACCTTGGGACCCCAAACTAGGGTTCCTTCTAGCTCTGAAATGCTATGACCTGTTCGTGTACTGATTACTCCTGGGCCTGCCTATTAGAAAGTCAACACAGTAATTCATGCTTCTCTCCCCTTTCTGAACACTGAAAATGTAACTGTGAGCGCCACATGTTTTGCATCTGAATATTCTCTAGTCCACTCATTCATTCATTCATTCATTCATCTATTCAACATATTTTTGCTAAGGTCAAACATTTCCTGTGTCCTGGATGGATATCAATGAGAAAGGAGGAAGATATATAAAGCCCCTATGCCTTAGCTACTGCCCTGACATCAAGGCTATAGACAGACCCTTTTTAGTAACCCCTTAGCAACTAGCATAGTTCATGATATGTAGTAACACTTGAGAGACAACTGAGTCTGTTGTGGGGTGCAGAATACCAAAAAAACTTGTCACGTCCCTTGAATTGAGACCAATGAGCAGAGTCAGCCTTCGACATCATGTAATTTAAACACTGACCCTTAGAGGAGTTGATATAAATTTTATTATTTTTCATTAAATCATAACTGTGTACATTAATGCAGTTATGGGGTACAATGTGCTGATTTTATATGCAACTTGTAATTCTTTTTTTAAAGTCTTTTTTCCATTTTTTTATTATTATGGTTAACATAGCCTTCACCTCTCTTACTTAATTGTTGCATTAAGACGTTTATACTCTTAACGGATTTGACATGTACCCCTGCTTGATGTAAATTTTAAATAACATCGGTTAAGAGCTTAGCACAGTGTCTGGTGTGTAGTAAGTGCTCGATAAATCTGAGCTAGTATTAGGGACTCAATGATGACTTGTTTATTCATGCCAGATTCAATTCCATCTGTATTTATTAGAAGCAGCCCCACATCTGTAACTGAATAGTGAACTAAAATATGCATGATGAGAAGCAGAAGCCAGCATGGGGTAGGCCAATGAAAGATCATAGGACTGCTTGCTTAATAATTTCTGCTTAAGTAATTTCTGTTTTAGATGACTCGGAAAATCTCTTACTTACTAGGATACACCTATATAGGATCATGGCGGGGAAAACGTGGCAATTCTATCTAAAGATAGAATAGAAAATAACGATATAATAGGAAACATATTTTTCTCCAAGCTCCCTTTTTAAATTTTTGCAGAAAAAAATTAAACTAATTTCTATGTTAATAAATTAAAATATTTAAAATGATATTCGACCTCGCAGAACTACCACGTGGACTCAGTGTGAAAGTTCTGAGAAATATACAACCCAGAGTCGGCTGGCTCTAAAACTGTCCCCCTTGTTTTGCTCTTTGACCTTCCCTCATAATCTCCCCACCCCCAAATGATTTCTGAAACCTATGAAGTTATGAGGTTTTGGAATGTAAAATCCTGATTGCTATCACCAGTTTTGTGCTAGAAAATGTTTAACAACTGGTTCTCTGGGGGAAATGCCCTGATCTGTAGTATTTTTCTCTTTCGGTAGTGTAAATACAGCCACCCTGGCCAATTTGAAGCTACTGACATGATGTTTGGGAAACCAGTGTCCCTAACCAGGATGAGCCAGCTCTAACACACCCCAAAGAATTCCCACCCAGGGAGGACACGGTGGGGCAGGGTCCTCTCACAAATAGGAAGGAGCAAGATTTTTAGTCTTTGGAGGCACTGCTTTTTCGAAACAGAGGGAACAAGACTTATGGATTCTTGACAGTGATCTCCTTCTGGCCTGGTGAAAAGGGAACAACTTCAAGCTCAGAGAGTTTACACACATAGTGACTGTTGGCTCCTCTTCCTTCAAAATCCCCTAGGGGAAGAGAGGAAGGCAAAGCTAGAGAATTTGGATTTGCCAATCTGCTTCTCATAAACCAGCAGAGACAAAGAAGGGAAACCGTTGACAGCTGGTAGCTCCCTGTGTGACATAATCTATAAACACTGAAGAGTTGAATAAAAACATGTCTAATAAACTCTTCAGGCTGTAAAACTGAATTCAGCAAACGCAATTATTACATGAGCAGACAAAATTATGCATTAACATATTTTTATGTTCCTAAATTAACAAAATGACTAGTGACTTTGGAAATGTAACAGGTGCTAAAAATTACGTGTGCACTTATTCCAATTTCCCCCCAATTTCTTTGCTGGGCAGAAACAACAACTTATTTTCCCACAAGGACTCAAAATAGCTTAAGCAATGTGAGTCTCTTTTGACCATGGGCACTGGAAGGAAAAGAACGTTTACATTCCACTCTGTAGGGCGGCTCTAAGTATGGTAGCAGTATAGCTTTGTTAGCAGGGATTTGGGGAGACAACAAGGTATGGTAAATGACCAACGTGGTGGGCTGGCTATTTGTTGATCTAGAGCAATGACTTGGCAGCTGGACATGGCCCTAGTGAGCAACCCATTGCCAGACATACAATGTCAGCAACAACTCAGTCTTCAGTCTTCCCTAGATTAGGAGTTCTCCCTGCCCCCAACTGCATCAAATCCCAATGTATGGAGACAAGCCCTGACCTCAGCCCTGGGAGTGAGATATACTGCCCACATACTATATTACTTTTGAAACCCTAACAGAACCTGGGATGGTTGTCATGTATTCAACTGTATAAATTGACCTTTTAAGTTTTCTTCTGTTAAATGAGTGACTTTAAATTGCCAGTAGTTGTGTCCTTCACAGGCTGCTTTTCAAAAGCTACTAAAAGCACAAGGGTAGAGACAGCAGGTATGGGTCAAAACCCACATTTGTACCCAGCAGTGTTTATATAGGACACCTATACGCTGGGTAACTTACACCACCACAAGGTATAGTAGTCATGGTCAGTGAGCTGACAGCTGACAGCTGACAACAACAATCAAAGCCATTGATTTCCCTGTACAAGCCCAAGAACTATGCATTTCCATACAGCAAGTCGTTTTCAAATTCGTCATCCAATGAGGGCCTGCAGTGGGTCACAACAGCCCATTAAAGACAGCTGTCCCTGCCCCCAGAAGAAAATACAGCTAAATCCAATGAAGAAATCACTGCTTCTGGGTTGTGTATTCACTAATCCACTATGCACACAGGTTGAACTTAATGAGCTTTAAAAAT